TGTCCAAAATTCAAAATATCTCACGAAAAGCTTAGCCACCACCTCGTTCAGTCCAAGTACGCAGCCACGCTACCCCATTTCAGGAATTGAGTATGCCGGCCCAAGTCAGTGTTTTGGTCCTATCGCGAAAGTCTGGTACCAGTTTGGGATCGGCTAGCTCGGGTCGGGGCCGATCCTGTGAATGGACCGCGCACCTGGTACCTGGCGTCAGTTCCCACCTCCACCCTGAGCAAAGAGGAAGAAACAAGCAGATCTGCATTACGTAGTTCTTGCGCACCTTGCAGAGCATTTGCCGTTTATTAGGAAGATAAATAGGTGTCTATGGAGTCAAAGATCACTTTGTGCAAGGGCCTTTGCAGGCACGAGGAATGACGAATCCAAATGAGACGTTGATCATCGTCACAGCTGATCATGGCCATGCACTCACACTTCCTGGATATTCGCCAACTAAGGAGACACTTTTTGGTAAGCATTTTGCGTTATTACACTTGGTATTGTCGCAACGGGATCAACAGGCATGCAGCGAGTGGAGTTTTCAGCACTGTTGTTTCCTAAATCAAAGGCAGTGGGGGGACAGGCTCTTTGACACTGCTGACACTGTCCCCGATTAAATGCGCTACAGTCTGCCATAGCATGTACCGGCGATTTCGGTTGGGTCGATGTTTTTTTTCGAAATCGACAGTCGAATGCCTCCAATTCCTCTAAACGAGTGTTGGAACCCCTCTCTAAATGGTTCCTTTTGTGCCGTCCATGTAAGTTTCTGGAGTCAGATTTCGCGATAAGCTATCAACGTGTCCTTAAGGTGGACTGGTCGAGAAAAGAAGTGCATATGCTAATTAACTTATTCCGGAAGAGGAAAGAAGAAACTGGCGAAAACCCTGAACAAAACCTTCTTCCAAGTGAGTAGCAAAAATCGCCGGGTTTTACTTGGAGAGACCAGGTGAGAGCAATAAGTGAGACGACAGATACAATAGCTAACAATAGGGGTTTAGTCTTCTAAGCACTTTGCGCCTTAACGCTCGTAACTGATAGAACTGTAAAGAACGTTCTGAGCAAAAGTGGTACAAAGGTTGCCAGATTGCAGTCCTGCACCACGCCTTCCTTACGAGGTTCAATTCCAACTCACTACGCGGTGAGAGTGTTGCGCTTTTCATTCCAAAATCGATCGTTCAGCAGCTTTGACATTGGCCAAGATCAGTGCGTAAAATCCAGCCATAGTGACTTTGAATGACAGCCAAAGGACAACAAATTCGCTTGTCACCGCAGTGTTGAGAGAAACACATGGAGAGATCTGTTCCCATTGAGCAAGCAACCGCGGAAAAGATAATCTTCTGGGAATTCATAAAGAACAAGATGAAATCAGTTCACAAAGCATAACTACTGCTACCGCATAGAAAAATAGGTTGCAGTGCGATCGCTAGAGACAAATATAACTACGATGAATATCAAGGATAAATAAAGGCACAGCTCTGTGTCGCCTGATCAAGCCTTCTTAGGATTCTCAACGGATTCTTCAACCTATTTCACATTCTTGCAGAAGCGTCTTGTGTCTTGAGCGCGGTTTCGGATTTTCATAGCCTTTATGGGCCACCTGATGTGAATCTTAGCGCTTTACTATTCCCTAGGTAATTCGGTACCACTTACAGTTTATATCACCGCGACCTGTCGGGTCGCAATCAGCGGTTCCCACCTGCGGCCTTCCCACCAGTGGCTGATTCCTTCCTACATCGATCATTGCTCGATCACCATTGGTAGAGCAAGGCAGCCGGACGCGAGCTCGTGCCGCGCTGCGCTCGCCGCCCCCGACAAATTGCAATGTTACAAACTATGCATAACTTACCGTTCTCAAAAGGATGGTGGTCTTAGTTGGTCGGAGTGTGGGCCGATGCGAGATTTCTCCCTGAAACGCGTGCGGGGTCGATCACTTACCGTCACATCATATCGACAAGATGAACAAGATCAGCAGGATGAAAGAATATGATTAGACTTGGAAATGGTCAGTTGTGCGGCTTAAGTACTAATGACAAGAAGCGGATAATATAAAAGTGAAGAACAAAGCAAAAATCAGCCCGAACCGTTTCATATAGAGCCCCATGGCGAACCGCGTTTCCTACGTGCATAGGGGGAGGAAGGAGCGTGGCTCAGCGAGCTCTCACTCGTTGGTAACAGCTTTCTTTCCCTGTTGCCGCGCTCTCACCACTAGGGAGTGGAGAGAGCCAATAGCGGAACAACTGCAGGAAGCCTTGAGAAGTGAAAGTTGGGCGTTGCCGTAACCAGCAGGCGTAGCCGTGGCCTCATCGCCAGCGGGTCGCGCTTTATTTACGTACTCTCTGAGCTGTGAGAGTAGTAGATCCTCCATACTCGCAGATAGGTCTACATTGTCCAAGGAACTCGTTTGAACAGTACAGCGTGAAGCGCGAGGCAGTACCTCAAGCCGATGAACGTCAGTAGTACGCATAACCACTGGCACTTCCCATTCCATCTCGCTCAAGCTTGGAGGGCGTTCGGACAACATAGCTTGACGCCTGTTGCGGATCAATTCGTATTGAAGCTAGCGCACTGTTTGTAATAAGATGGCTTGCAGTTCTCGCCCGCGTGGAATAATACAAAATGTTCGATGTGATAGCGAAAAATTCAGAAAGCTCGAAAGTCGAGCATCGTGAGGAGAACACAGTCAAAGAAGCCACGAATTTGGGTAGCCTCCAAATGTTCTTCGCGCTACAGGACGGATTCAGGAATGGTTTTGGAGATCACAGTAGCACTGACATAGGTGAGTTTTCCTCAGCTACAATACTTATGACGCTACTTCATGAATGATTTTCGTGTGACTTTGATGATGGCTGACTTGAAAGAATATGTGGCACTATTGACCCTTTACTGCTGGGCCGCAGCCATCCCGAAATCAGGCCAAGGTTCCTGACCAACCCCTCCGACTTTTTCTCCGTGGGCAGAATTTGCTGAAAACTTGGCTCCAGGGGTAGTTTGACCCCCTGAACACGAATATCACATCCGCTCAACCCGAAACCTCCTGGCGCCCGCACCACGGGCACCGGCGCCAAAATACCCCAAATCATTGGCGCCTGTGGCGCGGGCGCCAGGAAGTTTCGGGCTGAGCGAATGTGATATTCGTATTCTGGAGGTCAAACTACCCAGGAGACAACATTTGAGCAAAATCTGCCCACGGAGAAAAAAGTCGGTCAGGAACTGGCCTGATTTCGGATGACTGGGGCAGTAAAAGGGTAAATATAGTGCCGGATATGTTTATGGTCTGTAACAATTTGAGAGCAACCATTCTATCGTCAACCAACAGCAGTTCGAACCCAATTTGGGTACCATGGAGGTGAAGACGTTGGCATTTGGGCTGATGGACCGTTCTCAGAGTATGTTCATTCACTCTCTCCTATTTTCTTTGACTTATGCCTGGTACGTGAAGCGTGATGTTGGTATTCAGGTTGTTTTCGAGTTCTTTGGAGAACACTGAAGTCGCCTACATCGTGAAGTTCCTTCTATGCTTGAGCACCACTGACTTCACAATTTGTGATATTCCTTCGAAGTCGGAAGTGCTGTCAAGAGATTCAAGAGATCCAGCGCGCCTCAATGCATTGGAAAAAGGTGAGTTCTGGAGAAACTGTTCTCAACTCTTTACAAAACCTAACAACTTGCTATGCTATCACCACAGATCCGTGTTTATCTCTGTTCTATTACAATACATTTCTTAGTACTCTGAGCGCACACGAAATCAGTAAAAAACCCAAACCACGGGTACTCCCGCCTTCAGGAAACGATGTGATCGTTGCCAATCAGACTGCTTGGGATTGCTTGAAGTCAGCTTCAAATCGTAGCTGTATTAATAGAAACTTATTCGATTTCAAGTCGTGGGTGGCTGGATCCAAAGTCCACTAGCAGTAGTAACTGGCTCACCCGTAAAGAAGACAGCAGATGAACCTGACGGTACCCCAAATGGGTATTCAGCATTTGAGGATAATGCATTTCTGTATTATGGATGGGGCCAGGTTTGAGAAAAAGCGCTCAGGTGAATAAATCGCGGCCAGACTCTAGTCACAAGCTTCCAGCGTTATAACAACCTACCTTTTTATAATACACTGTGCATGTGGGGCTGCAGACCTGCCCTCCGAATAGTTGACAACATCGAGGCGATGTCAGGAGGGGCGAAATGAGCCTTCGGCTGCCATTCTCTTCCAATGGTGATCGGTTGGTTAGGGATCAATTCAATGGAGAAAACAACCTGTGGGGTATCGTCGTCGTTGGGCTCACTCTATCAGGCTGCGTTCATACTTTGAGGCAGCGTCCACTAGCGTTTCGAGCGTCCGGCAGCGTCAGCGACTGGGAAAGCATACATATGATCTAGCGTCTGCCAGCGTATCCCAGCGTTCGCCAGCGTCTGCCAGCGTCTTGAGGGAGTAATATACAGGGTACACCATCGTGATGGTGGATTGGTAGTGTAAGTACGACCCCCCTCCGACAGAGGGTGTAAGTAGGGCCCCCACTTAAATGAGGGTCTCGGTACGACCCCCGCTCTTTCCCAACACCTACTTACGATTTCCCCACATCTTCCAGTCCAGTTTTCACCCAAAAATTTTCCGTCGAGGGGGGGGGGTGGAGAGGGGCATATAGTACACATGAACTAGGCAAAACCAGGCGAAAAACCAACAACCGGGAAAATTTTTTCCCAACGCAGCTAATTTCTCTCAAAGCGCACATACGATCCCTCTCCCAACGACCAACTAAGACGACCCCCCCTCCCTTCTTCCCCGCGGCGATCCCCAGGTGCCTCAACACAGTACTGTATACTGTACCCTGTGTAGTATAGCTGGTAGAGTTATGCGAGATAGGAGATTAGCAGATTGCTTGGCCCAAATGGCGTGATAAGAGGGTACCACCAGCTGCCTGCTACCTTCATCGCGCCATACCCTGCCGGACGCTCGAAACGTCGATGACGCTGCCGGACGCACGATACGTTAGTGGATGCTTGGAAAGCTGGTGGACGCTGTCGCAAAGTATGAACACAGCCTCACCCTTGAAACAGCACCGACCGATTACGGCGACATCAACTGTATATGGAAAAGGCCTGCACCTACAAGCTGTCGCGGCGCGTGCTTGTAACGCGACGTCTTCTCCAAGTAACCTGAGTATTACCCACAGTTGCTTCAAAAGCGATGAACATTGTTTGCGGCCCAATCACAGACCCAGACAGATCGCAAGGTAACAGTAGCTCGAGCCTTACTCCAATTCCCAAGGTCGAAGTTACCATCAGGAGAGATCAGCACGAGCCAGGTAAACACATGGGGGGGTCGTACTTTTGCTCTGGGGAGGGGGTCGTATTTGTAAGACAAATTTATTTTGATAGTTGATTTTTTCTTGTGGAAAAGTGGGGTCGTATTAATCTCACACCGATCATTTCGCACATCCCCATGCTGTACCCTGAGCACGACTCAGTGGCTCGAAGACGGTTCAGAGCGTAATGGGAGGCAAATAACCCCCAAAACCAATCGTAGCCCTTGTCACATAGACTAATCCCCTTATTCATCATCACAGCACACACATTCATCAAGATTCAATGTATTTGTGATCAGCCTAATTTTTCTTCAGAATCCTAAACTGTTTTCTGTACAGCTTCAGGTATTCTGGAGGCCTTCGGCTTGAAAACCGTAGCAGTGGTAGCTGTTATCTGCATGATGACCTCCGTTATTTCGCTTCTGATTGCTGCCTTCCTTGCCTCTGTGATTTACCTTCAGAACAGGAACTCTTGTGCTCATTCGAAACAAGTGTATGCTGGATAGAAATCACAAACCAGTTCATATCTTCTGCTGTTTGCTGCATGTTTGAACAGTATCATTCCGTCTGCCTGTACATCAGTTTATTTCCTCCAATACTTGTGCGACAATTTTGCTTGTCTTTGTCTGATCTTGTGTTTCTCAATCGATTCAATCGATAAATGGATCTCGGTGAAAAACTTGTTATGTTACCTAGTGTTATATTCAATGGACTTCATGGATGGACTGACATGCTGACGCCTTGCGAAGTCAAGAGGCAGAGCAAATGGAAGGCTCCTAATACAGTAGATACCGCCGCGAATCAGTCGGGGCAGCTTCAAGAGGGATATAATGAGCCCATCCGCGGCGTTCTTACCACTGGTTGTTTCCTTCCTAAATCGATCACTTAACTGATCACTACTGGTAAGGTAGGGGTAAAGGCATCTGGAGACGAGCTTATTCCGCC